CGGTGCATCGGTGAAAGTTCGTCTGGCTTAATGAATGAACGGGAAAGAAAAAAAAAACGAGAAAAAAAGAAATTTCTGCGGACGACTTATTATTCACTATTGTGGCTGTGATATTTCGATCGGGTATGTGTATGCGTGTAACGAAGGAATTTATATATTTTAATTGATTCTCTCCCTCTCCTCTTCCACTCGCTCTCGCATTCTCTTCTCCCGCGTTACAAAACAGCGAGACGATTCTTTCGTTCGGAGAGTTCTTCGCGGTTTCTCTCGTCCATTAAAATTAATGATGTACACACATCGAGCGCATGTCGGTCGATGAGAGGAAGAGGGAGAGAGAGAGGGGGGGGGAGGGAGGGAGCGAGAGAGAGAAGCCCTGCGGTCGCGCACCATTCGATACGCGTCACTCGCACGTGTTTCTATTAGCGTCCGTGAAATTTATTTAACGCTCGTTTCATCATTAGAGAAGAGTCCGCGCACAGGCGCTCAGAGTTATCGCACATCTCGTTAGTCTCGCGAAATTATCTTTTTTTCCACGATAATTCGCACGTATGCACGCATCCTTTTGTGATCGCTCTCGGCGATTGTTCGTCTTTTCCTCATCCTTCTCCTCTCCCTTCCTCCTTCCCCACCATCAACTGTGTCGTTTAAAAAAAAAAAAAAAAAAGGAAAAGAGAATGCAACAGTAATCGCGCGAAAGGAGAGGTGGCGGAGGGGAAGGGAAGACGGTATTATTTTTAACCGCGGGGAATCAGGATCCATATTGTCGGTTGAGATTTGTAAAGTCGCTACCGCCGGGCCCGGAAGCCTTATGTATCCGACAATGACTCACATTTCCAGGAGTGTGCAGCTCATCCCCCTTTTCTCGCCCACGACAATGCACACATCGTGCCATTGTTCGCCTCTCCATCTTGAAATCGACTGCCCGTTCCTGGCATAACGTGAGCTTCACCTAGTTCTCTCTCTCTCTCTGTCTCTCTCTCTCTCTCTCTCTCTCTCTCTCTCTCTCTCTCTCTCTCCTCTCTCGCTTCTCTCTTCCTCTTTTTTCTTTTCAACACTTCCACGAGGACTCCTCGTCACCGACGTAGTTTCTACCCGCAATCATCGTAATTTCCATTTAGACGTTTGTCTCGGCTGTTCTATTCTCGAGGGCGGTGCGCGCGCAGTTCTCGACAACGAATATAGTAATCGCGTAACGACAACACACACAAAGCCGGCATGGCAAATTGTTACTCTCGCGCGCACATTAAAAACGACGACATTCAGTCACGAAAATAGAGTCACACCGCCGCACCGTTGTTTAACTGCAATTCGGAATTATCTCTTCCCAATAAAACGACGGCATAATGAGACGTAGTTAAATATAGCCGACGAAACGATAACGCGATTAAAAACGATGACGTTTGGTATAACGTCCTGGGAAAATAAAGCGCTGTGAGATAATTTCTTTATCGCGTGTTTTCGTCGATTTTAAATAAATCCTTCGCGCCGAAGGAACGGTATGATAATAACGAGCGCGATTGACTTCTTCACGTTCGTTCATTTATTCTTCGACCTCACAAGAAGCGACGAAGTAACCGCGGCCGTTGGCTAACACCAGTCGTCCAATCGACGGTAAGATAACGATTTTATTAAGCAAATAACGGCGTTAGGGATCAATTTGGACGCGTGTTCGCGCGTGCTAGTAGCGTAGATGCACACATACATGCGCGTGGGATCTTTAATAACCGTTCTCCTTCTCCTCCTCCTCCTCCTCCTTCTCCTCCTCCTCCTCCTCCTCCTTCTCCTCCTCCTCCTCTTTCCCCTCCGGTAGCGTCACATCGCCGCTTGTTCGACTCTCGATCGGTGATGGGATCCTCCTTTGATTAACGGTTCAACATCGGTGAGAAAGAATGTCTCTGGGGTGCACCGCGACCTTAATGAGCCGCTTACGCGCGTCTTACACATGCATGTATATCCTGCGATAAGATAACGTTCTTTTTATATGTATTTGCGTACTTTTCCGTAACTCCTTTCCCGAACACGAGAAACATCGTTAAAAATGCGTTTGCATCATATCGAGCAGTCGATAAATAAATAAAGACGAAAAGAAGATAGACGCGACAAGGACCCGCGTGTTAATAAGCTCCGGCTTATTTTGTTTAGCCTACCATCTTCGAGGGAATTAACGTAGATAAAAATATATATGTATAATGTAATTATGAAGTAATTTTCGATAATATTGCAAATTACAAAACGTGACGTTCGTAGGCATTTCAGTCGCGACGCGCGACACGATGGATTGATGGAACGTGGGATCGTTTGATCGCGTAGTGATTATTCCAACGGACCAGAGAATTATAAAATCATCAAATAATTTAACAATCGAGATACAGAGAGGGAGAGGGAGGGAGAGAGAGAGAGAGAGAGAGAGAGAGAGAGAGAGCATGTTCGCGATGACAGTCTTTCAAACATTCAAACAGCATCCATTAAAAAATGATCCAAGTTGTTCTTGCTCGTGACTCGTCGTGACTCTCGCGCACTCGCAGAGTAACCGTCAAGTATAACTGTGGCCTTGGCTCAAGCTCGAGCAGCGTTTCCGGAAGAGGTTAATACCCGAAACGCATCGCTGCGTCTTAGGGCTGGAGCGTGTCGTGAATGCTTCGAGTTCTCTACGCTTCGTGCACGAGCGAGATCAGCCGGCTCGTCTATCCGTCCGCGCTTGCTCACAGGCGCAACGCAACGCTGCTTCTTTTTCTCCATCTTCTTCCACTTATTTTTCAACTCGAAAATGGGCATGCGAATACTTGCATGCGGCCGCGGATAATGTGTATTAAATTTATCGACCATCCTCACTCAAACGCAACGGCGAAATCCTGCTGCGTCGTCGCCATCGTTCACCGCAATAGACAGATGATGATGGATCCGCGAAGCAGTCCAAGTCACGAATTTCTGTCTCTTCATCTCCTGTTTCCAGCAATTGCACAAAAATTGTGAAAAAGAGGTCTTATAGATTCCCATTTTCCTATCTTGTTCTCTTCATTTTATTCTGCTTATCGTGCACTTATTCGTGCAATCTTGTTTGTTTATTCAGTGCCAATTGTTTGATCTCGTTTGATCGCGCAAACAGTCGTCCGAAAATAAAACGTGCGAAGAACGGGAACGGACCGGCTCAGACTTGTCGAAATAACTCTTTTCTATATAACTCTCTTCTATATAATATGTTCGTTGTTACTTCCGTTCGCGCGCGCACATCGCTATATCTTACGTAATCTGGTAGCGGTCAATAATCTATATCTCTCTCTCTCCTCTCCTCTCCTCTCCTCTCCCCTTTCTCCTTCCCTCTTCCTCTTCTCTCTCAATCTTACCGTTCAAGGTCACATCGAACTTTCGAAATCTAATTTCAAGCGCGCGAACCAAATGATTCCGACTCGGAGGCCAAGGTTAGACTCACTGCTCATCTCTTCTTCGATCATTTGCCTCCTCTGCTCTTCCAAGTGTCGAGGTATATGCTCTCCTAGTTTGCACCGAATTGATTTATGCGATTTGCGATTTCGAATCGCGCAACGACACTGTTGTCGATCAATCAACCTTTAGAGGACCGGGGTGGCTCTTATAGGACCCGCCACTAACAAACTCGAAAACTCTACGCAACATGATGGGTACATATATATATATATATATATATAAATTTTCTACGAAAAGAATTGCAAATTTTAAAGAAAAAAATGCCGGTCCTCTAAAGGTTAAAAGAATCCAACGGTGATCGACGATGGTGATGGTGATGGCCGGCGGTGGTCGCCGGAACGCACGGCGAACGCTTGTCGGTGAACGTCCGCGGGGGGTCGTCGACCTGGGACGACCAAACGACGGAGAGAAGGCCTTTTCTTCGCGGCCGGCACGAACGCGACCACCACGCCGCCGTCTTCTGCGCCTCTAGGCTTTGCGACCTTGATTCCAGCGCGCGCTGGAAATGTGACTACGTTACGCGGTCGTAGTCACCCGATGAAGACGACAACGATGGGATGTGTCGTCATCGAACCTTGAAGCCGAAAAGCCTCTTCCCTTGCACCTTCAGCTATTGTGTGTGTGCGTGTGTGTGTGTGTGTGCGTGTGTGTGTGTGTGTGTGTGTGTGTGCGACCCCGACAGGTTGTTCTCCTTCGAATTGTTGTTACGCGTTGTCCCCCGGTGCTGTCGCGAAAGCTCAGAGTCTTCTCGGGCAGACAGGCAGCTCTAGGCTCTCACCTGGCGGTGGACTATTTTTACTTTTCCTCTTCTCGGGACGACTCTCCCGAGTGTCGCGCGTTTCCTGAGCACACGCGCGCGCGCGCGCATGCATTTAGCGTTTGAAGCCCGCGCCCGTCCGCGCGTCGTTGTGGCTGAACTTTGTGCGAGATGTGAAGTTTCCGAGCAGATGGCCGTGTTAGCAAAGCTAAATACGCGTTTAGTCGGGACACGGCCTACGTGCGCGCGGCTTACGCGCGTCTCTCTCGAGCTGTTGACATTGACCGACATTACGAAACGCACGTTCAGTAGAGACCCGCGGTTGGTACGCTGGGATGGTATCGGGAATGCAACTCGGCGATTCTTCATTCGAGGCCCCTGGAGGCCCTCAATTTCAAGCGGGGGTTCATGGACTTTCATTGAATAAAATGATTGGACGTGTATTTGCACTAATCTCTAATCTCCGGGATTCGGGATAAAGACATTAGCAAATTTGTCTTTTTACTCGTGTCTTCTATCTTAATAATTGTGCATTATTATTGGATCTTGATTAATTTCCAACTTTGTGCACAATAATTTATTTACCCGATGCCGATTTTTAGAAGCCTTTCTTCTAAGGAAAGGAATAAGCCTAGCTTCACAAGCTTCAACCGATTGCCAAATCGACCGAAAAAGGTCAGTGGCGCAGAAGTCGAGAAGTTGAGAACTTTTGTGCTCTGATCATGAAGCGAAGTTATTATCGCAGTCATTCGCAGAATAAATGATTCGCTAACGGGGGACGTTCTTCTTCTATTTGCAGCAATTGTTTCGCAGTCAGCCGCAGGGCGCAACACCGCAGCAGCTGCAGCTGCTGCAGCAGCAGCAGCAGCAGCAGCAGCAGCAGCAGCAACAGCAGCAGCAGCAGCAGCAGTACCTGGCGGCCTCGCAGGCGCAGCAGCAGCAACAACAGCAACAGCAGCAAAACTTCCCCACGGCGCCGTACACCGTCATCAGCGGCCAAGAACCATACGTGGGCGCGTTGATAGCTGGTGCGCCGCCGCCGGTGGTACCGCAGTACTATGGGGTCGGTCCCTGGGTCTACCCGGCAGGCCTTCTGCCCCAAGCACCACCACAGGCGGCCGCGCCACCGCCGCCAAGACGACCGCTTACACCCTCATCGGCGGCAGCTGCGGCCGCGGCTGCGCAAGACACGGCGAACAACTTGGCACAGACGGTGAGTCTGTGGTGCCCTCTTTCCCGCTGACGGCGGGCTTCTTGCTATGCTCACAGCTGACAGCCGAGAGAGCAGTTTGCCGCGATTTGCCGACTTTCGCTCCTGCGGCCGCGCCGGAGGAAAGCGCGAAAGACTTGCCGCGGATGAGAGTTGCTGTAGTTTTCAGGAGGTTTTCGACATAATTTCGAGCAATTCGAGCGAGCGACTTGAACTTCTTTCGCAGCTGCGCGCGATCACACGAGACAACGCGCGCGAATGAAACTTGGCACAGATGGCGAATCGTTTTGTAAGCAGCTCGGGATTCGCAAATAATGATTCCGAATAGTTCGAACCGTTCGAATCGTCCCGCAGCCATGGGGGGAGACTACGTACAGATAAGAAGAAGAAGAAGTTTGGCAAAGCACGAAGGAAGAGGGATTACTTCGATCGGATCTAGCGCCATATGTTTTCTTTCAAGGGGTTAAAATGAAGAGGAGGACTAAATTTAGGGTGGATAGAGAGCTCGCGAATTAGTGCGTACCGCGAATTAGATGCGTTTCTAATTCTGTAAATGCTATTTTCTCTTGCTTGCGCCCCACGCGATGAGAACAGCGCGTGCGATGATGCTCGTTTCTGCGCTCGATGTACTATGACACGCTACTGCGGACTCATTGTCCCAATTAGAGCTACCACATTGTCCTCCTCAATCTGGCCAAATATTTCGCAGACGAGCAACAAGCGGAGGGAAAAGGTGGTAGTGCGGAATTACCTCCGATGATGTTCGCTCTATAAAATCTCGCGCGCGCCCTTCACGTCCGTTATGCTTTTGCGCATGGGGCGATGTAAAATACGTTTAGATGGAGCGATAATTAGATAGACGAACACAAAGGATGAAGCAAATTGATATCTAGATCAATGGCCTTGCCGTATAGATGAAGATTACATGAGAGCCGTTCGGGGAATATCGCAATCTAAAGATGAAAATATAACAATTGTACACAGATACAATTTATACATATATACCGCGCGCGCGCGCGCGCGTGTGTGTGTGTGTGTGCGTGCGTGCGTGCGTGCGTGCGTGTGTGTGTAAAAGTTGCACATTTCTCTGATTGTAAAACTTTGAATTATAAATTCCGCAATTTTTTTTACAAGACTTGGCACACACGTACACATACACACTATGTTTGTGTGATATATACTTCATGTATATCCATCACTGTGCTAATGAGGAAATGACATTTATAGGTTCAAGGCCAGTATCAGGTGATACCGGCGTACTACGACCAGAACGGCTCTATCGTCATGGGAGGTATGCGCGGCCTGAGCTCGGCAGCGACCCCCATGAGATTAGTTAGTCCCGCACCAGTTCTTGTGAACAGAGCACCGTCTCAACCGCCACCAGGCCCGCCGGCTCCACCACCAGCGAACCTGTATTCACAACCGACCCCGACGTCACACAGCAACGCTACACCCGGTGAATGTCTCGGTGAGTCTCGCTCCAAGAGATAACTTCTCTTCTTTTTCGTCGTCTTCTTCCTCGCCAGCGCGCGCGCACTCTCTTGTAAACCACTGCTATAAAGTCATGTGTAACATTTTGTAAAGATCTTCCCCTCCTCCTCCTCCTCCTACTCCTTCTCCTTCTCCTTCTCCTCCTTCTCGATGTAACACGTGTGTATTAATGCATGGACCGTGTTGTCATGTATGTACGTACGTATTGTACGGCAACGAATTATAGACGCGCGCCACCGTCGTTACGTTTGACCGCTCTCGCTATCGTTTAATTCCCTTTCCTGTGTGTGTTCCCTGTAAATACGTATGAAACACCGTCATTACGACCCGGCATTGTAACAGTTCGTGACTAAACAATGATTATTGACAGATTCGATGACATATTCACAGAGCAGAGGAAGTATTGGTCGCAGAGGATAGCAGATGGAAGGCTCATTAGACAATAAGAAGGAGGAACAGAGGGAAGGAGATTGTACATTTTCGAGCTTTGGTTTTCGATCTAATTTTGCTGAGATTTCTTTGATACAAAATTGGACCATTTGGTTCGCACGGGTTTTTTTTTTTTTTTTCCTTGATTTATCTCTTCATGTTTAGATACGTTCAATTTTTCCCTTTAATGTGAACAGCATGAAACAGGCCAGGTCGTAACATGTTCGACAAATGTTATCTGCATCCATCACTTTAAAGTGAAACTATTTTCTTCTGACTTTAATAAGATTATCAATTACAACATCCAAACATTCTCAAAATTTTAATACAAACATATGTCTGTATCCTTATAATTTCTTGCAAATTAATAAATTCCAATACATTAATCATTTAATGTTGCCACTGTCACAAATCAGATTCACTGACGAACTTAAAAATTGACAACTTTTCCTCAGTCACGTGCGAAACTCGGAAAATGAGATCTTCCCTCTCTTGGTCCTCTTTCAAACGTCATTTAGAGCCGTTCCGTCGCTCTGCAACCTCTGATCTCGGAGGCGATCACATGCGCGACTCGAAGGAGAGTCAAATGTACATTATACTCTATACCTGCTAGAGCTTCTCTAGACGGTGTAAGGTTCTTCCGCAACATGTAACGCTAATTACTTACGACGACTAAGAAAGCGCGTGTGGGGGTTTTTTGCGGGCTTTTGGTGCAGGTCTGGCAGCGTGCAGTGCAGCAGCGGTGGTCGCACAAGCCCAGGCGGTTGCGGTGCAACAGGCGCAGCAGCAAGGCTCGGGTCTAGCTGCGGGTTTAGCGGCTCTAGGATACGGCGGGTCACCGCTCGGAGCGTTGGGTTCTCCGGCTCAACTGCAGAACTCAGGTATTGTTAGAGAGCGTCGTGTCCACGTTTGCGCTCAATCTTTTTGCGTCTTTACGCCCGAGAAGTCTTACAGGAAAAAATTTTCTCTCCCTCTCTCTCCCTCTCCCCCCCCCTCTCTCTCTCTCTCTCTCTCTCTCTCTCTCTCTCTCTCGTAGAATGTTTGTGATCCACTGTTGTCCACGCGCGATATGCTCGGCGCACCACTCTGTAATTCTTGTCCTGAGCACTATGTGAGCTAAGATTACGATGGCGTCTTGTGTGCAGGTTTAGGCCTTGGTGCATCTTCGAGCGGCAGACGAGATTCCTTTGATAGAAACACTTCAGCCTTCAGCCCGAGCTTGGAATATAGCCGGGCGAAGTGGCCTCAGAGTTACGGCGCTCTCGGTAAGGATCGCTTCTCTCGACGTGTTCGAATATAGGCTTCCGATGTATACGCGCGCGCTCGAACGCACATGAAGGTGTAACGATGATGAGGATGACGAAGGCGACGATAAGAGTCGACGACTGGCTGAATTAAATTATCCTCCTCCTCCTCCTCCTCCTCCTCGTCACTTTTTTCAGTTCGAGTCGTGTGCGCGAGAGATTTCCCTTTTTTACTTTCTCGCCCACCAATCACAAGGAAAAAAACTCGAGCGTTACTGTTTTTTAGATACTCTATATATGTATGTGTATGTATGTATGTATGTGTGTATTATACATGCGTATCTGTACGCATATACATAGCGGTTGTGCGTAGTCTTGATAATCATGCTATGAACGTTCAATTAACCCAACACTGTGTACATTGTGTCCATATAATAACGTCGTTGTTCATTTGCATACGTGCTTTTTTATATACGTGTAACCAAAAGGCTATGGTAACAAAACGTGCACCCTTCTGAATTGCGAGAATTGTCACTAACGTGTACAAAAAACAAAGCTATGTTGCGCATCCCGATATTTAGAAAGGAAATATTCTTGAGCTGTTGAAGCGTCGTCTCTTATTCGCAAGGACGACCGGATAGAGGAACGCGCCGCGACACACAAATACACTGTGTATGCGTACGTACATGCGCGCGCGTATGTCACTGTAAATTCTCGTAGTGATTTAAACTGCACACGGTGTGCAGAATTAGATATTTATATATTTTTGTACGTTGTCTTTGTGTGTCATTCGCGATTAAAAGATTTCCAATAGCCGAATAATAGCTCATAATACCCGATACCCGAGATTAAGATGTATCTAAATGTACAGCTACCTCATCTTATCGTTTACAATATTCAGTGATGATTGTTTAAATGCGTATCATCAACGTTCGCATTTTTGTCAAATTTTTTGCTGAATTGTAATCGATGTCACATCAGGCTGGTGCAAGAGACAAAAATTAACGGCATTTTGAAAGTGCATAATATTTTTGACTGAATCAGGTTTTATCAGGTTTTGCCAAAACATAAAGCGAAACAAGTATATAATCTAGCGTTGAAGGTAGAACAACAAGGTAAAGTTCTAGTGCATCGTTAACTCAAGTAAGAAAAGAATAAGTCTATTGTTTTCGATTGTCACGACTGACCGATACGACGCGACAGCTTTCACTTTTCGCACCAACCTGATGCATTCACAAAAGAGTATGTGCCGCAAAGTAGAATATGCCAATCTTGTTCGTAAAATTGATCCTCAATTGTTACCCTCGGTGTTTGTGTGAACAAACAGGAACAGTAACCGCATCGCCCAGTCCTTTGGGATTGTCATTAACACCGCCACCGACTCTGGGAGGATCCCTGGGCGGTCTCGTTGGTGGCGCCAGTCGAGTGTCAGCTGCTCCAGGCGCGGAGGCCAAGTTCCGCGCGAGCGCAGTCCCCGCATTGACGGCCAATGGTGTCTTCGGTTCCAGCAGCTCTCTATTCCCCAACCTCGTGGGCAAATCTGGTCGCGGAGGTGCCGCTAATATCAGTGACAAAAATGCTGGTGGAAGATCGCGTCTGCTCGAAGATTTTCGGAATAATCGGTGAGTGGAAACGCACTCTGCGAGAAGCAGAGGACTCTCCCGGAATTTCGCCGGCCGAATAACGGCCGACTGACGCGCGCTCTCCTTCTCTGTCCAGATTTCCAAGTCTCCAGTTACGTGATTTAGCTAATCACATAGTGGAATTCAGTCAGGATCAACATGGTTCACGATTCATTCAGCAGAAACTGGAACGTGCCTCAGCCAGCGAAAAACAGCTCGTCTTTCAGGAGATTCTTTCCTCCGCATATTCTCTTATGACTGATGTTTTCGGAAATTATGTTATTCAGAAGTTCTTCGAATACGGCACTCCAGAACAGAAATCTACTCTTGCTCAAAAGGTACGTATTTTTATTATATCTATCGAGAAAATAAGACCGAGACTGGTCGAGTGAGATCGATACGCCGGAAAAGAAAAGCCTTAAGAAGTCTAGATACGACTATTTTTGAATTTCCACATCAGCAATTGCTCCCTCCTCTCTCCCCCTCCCTCTCCTTCTCCATCCCCTTCTCCATCCCTCCCCTTTCTCTCTCTCTCTCCCTCCCCCCCCCCTCTCTCTCTCTCTCTCTCTCTCTCTCTCTCTCTCTCTCTCTCTCTCTCTGATCTCTGATCTCTCTCTTAATCGTCGATTTGGAGGAAATCATCCTCACGCATTGTGTCCTTGACACTAACCGAATATGACGAGACATTTTGCGTGTCATCTGATTCAACATGATTACATATCAAATGGTCTGACCGATTATCGAGCAAACCCTATCGAAACAGCGCGCCTAGTGTTACACTATCTCATATTTGTTTTTGTTTGCACATCAGGTTCGTGGGCACGTGTTACCATTAGCCCTCCAGATGTACGGCTGCAGAGTGATACAGAAAGCACTCGAGTCGATCGGTCCGGAGCAACAACAGGAGATTGTGCGTGAATTGGACGGGCATGTATTAAAGTGCGTGAAAGATCAGAATGGGAACCACGTCGTCCAAAAGTGCATCGAATGCGTTGAGCCACGGGCTCTGCAGTTTGTGATAGGCGCATTCACTGGTCAAGTTTTCGCGTTGAGCACGCATCCTTATGGCTGTCGTGTGATCCAACGTATTCTTGAACATTGTACTCCTGAGCAGACGCAGGGTATCTTGCAGGAGCTGCATGCCTCCACTGATCAGCTCATTCAGGATCAGTACGGCAATTACGTCATTCAACACGTGTTAGGTAAATAATAATTTCACAGATGAAATTATCTTTATTTATATCTCACATACTACATATTTTGTATAATATAAATGCTTATATATATGCTTATATATATAACATATGTATAGGGTCTATTCTTTTTCGAGAAACTGTTCTGAACTAGTGCGATAAGTTAGAGTGAGAGAAAATGTATTCACTCTAACTTATCGCATTAGTTCATAAGTTGTTCGAAAAAGAATTGACTTATAATGTAACACACACACACGCGCACACACACACACACACATATTTATATCATTTATATTTATTTATATATTAGACGTTTTTATTTTACGTGTACTTGGCATCGCGGCGATGGCGCTTGATTTATATTTCTCATTGCGTATATATTACTCGTTCTATTAGGTGTAATGAGTTATTCGCAATAATAAAGATACTTATCTTCGTCCTCATAGAGCACGGAAAGCCGGAGGACAAGGCACAATTAATCAGCAGCGTCAGAGGCAAGGTACTCGCTCTTTCTCAGCATAAATTTGCGAGCAATGTGGTTGAGAAATGCGTGACTCACGCCACCAGGCAGGAGCGCGCTATATTAATCGAAGAAGTCTGCGGCTTCAACGACAAGTGAGTGCATTTCTGTCAATAGGATTACTTTTTGCTGTACATCGGAGAAAAAGATTGCCTCTTTTAACCTTTTTTCCTCGTATATGTTTTCGCCAAACAGTGCATTGAACGTCATGATGAAGGACCAATACGCCAATTACGTTGTCCAGAAGATGATCGATGTGGCAGAACCGGCGCAGCGTAAAGTACTGATGCACAAGATCCGCCCGCATTTAGGCAGTCTGCGCAAGTACACCTACGGCAAGCACATCATTGTAAAACTAGAAAAGTTCTTCATGAAGACCGCCTCGGCGATGGGAGTGGCGGCACCAGCCGGTGGTTCGACGAGCGGTGGCAGCGATCTCGGCCCGATTGGGCCTCCCGCTTCCGCCGCTGGTCCGGTTTCTACGCAGACCCAGGCACCCACACAGGTTTTATAAACGCGATCTTCTCTCTGTCGCCAAAAGAAAACCAACAGAAAATAGGAGAAAAACGAAAAGAGAAAAAGAACTCTATATATATTATACATACACGACTTCCGCACGTCACCAGACACGTTTGACCCTACTTTTACTTCTAATGAAATCTGTTGTTTCACCGTTACGATCACTGTCGACGGAAAAACGACAAGTCTCCGTCGCTTTCTCGTTGGCCCGTATTCTCTGGAAACGGAGAACAAAAGACGAAAAAGAAAATGTTCGAAAGGAAGGCGAGAAAAAATGACTCGGATACACCGCTTCTGTGACGGGAGAAATTCGCGCTAGTGTGTAATTTTTCTTATTTTTACAATCGCGGTAATCCACGACGACGACGACGACGTTTGTACAGTGGAGCGCGCCTCCTTGGTACTCGGGCAACGCGAGATCGATAACGGCATAAACGGCGAGAGAGAGAAAGAGAGAGAGAGAGAGAGAGAGAGAGAGAGAGAGAGAGAGAGAGAGAGAGAGAGAGAGAGAGAGTCGTCCTCTAACGAAGAGTATATATATGTACATATATATATATATATATATATATATATATATATATACACTTTGGATAAAGGAACAACGAGTGAGGATGTATGAGATGTGCAGTACACTTTTCTATCGTTAACGGAAATCGATATGAGATTCCCCTCGCGCAAGCCGAGTCTCGCGTGCGTAATACAAGAACACATCTGCAACTCGACGAGCACACGACACATACGAATATATATCGTGGAGATGATGTCCACGGTCAAACGACGACGGCTCTTGCGAAATGAATCGATGACTTAACTCTATCGTTCGACCGAATTTTGATTCGGTTTTGATATCACGACAGCCAACGTCGTTGATGACGACGGCGAAACGAGCGAGGAGGAGAAGTTGCTGCAGTTCCATCTTGTCGACGAAAAGGGTCGCGCGAGGATTTTGTTATGAAAAAAAACAAAAACAAAAACGAAGTTCCCTCACGTAGATCCGTCTCGTGCTGCTGCTACTACTATTATAATCACTATTACCACTACTTCGAAAGGAGAATCCGCCTTTTTTCCCCGTCGAGTCACAGCAGTCGCGCAATCGGCTCTCGATTATATTATTACGATACGTACATAATTATTCACATTATCGTCTCAAACCGACGAAGATGAGGTATAGTGAAAGAGGGCTATTATACGCTCAATAGCGAGAGCGCGTGAGAAAAGCGGAACATCTCTCTAGAGTGACAGATAGACGGGCAAGCTAATATGCACGCACGCGCGCTGAGTGCAGCACGTCTGTTACTGTTTGTGTGGTTGTCGAGAGACCGCTACGCGCACCCGGCGGACGACGTATAGGTTCTCGCGAGGACAGTTTTTAGACGGTTAGGTCTCTTATTAGTGCTGCATGCATTTATATCGACTTATAAACGAGGGAGTTCGCATAAAGGCAAAAAAAAAAGAGAATTATGATGCACGATCGCGCACGTAGCGCGCATGACGACGCTTCGAGTGCGCGCGTATGTTGCGCCCCCTCCTCTTCTACTCTGTACTACACACCTCGACCTTTGTACTTGCGCAACCGCCTGATTTTTTTTTTCTCCCCATCCTTCATCCTTCTCTTCCCCTCCCCCCGCCCTTTTATGATGTCCCTTACTTATCTTCATTCTGTTCTTTATTATATTTTTTCCTTTTTCTTTAAGTATTATTTACTTTTTTTTTTTTTTACGTACGAGGTGTGTTACTACGCACCCGATCGGATCGAATTTGCGATGAGTTCGCGCGCAACGGATACGTGTGAGTAGAAGAATGTGTTTGAAAAGTATATAGTAGTGGCTTAGAAGTTATAGATATGTTGTTTAAATGTAGCATAGCGTTTGACATGGGAACGATGAAAATCGGGCACCGGATCCTCCCCAATCTTACACTTCCTACTCACTTTCTTTCTCACTCCGCTTTGACTTTCGACGAAATCACCATACTGATCATTTGTCCCCTGTCTCCTACCTGTCCACCTACCTTTCCCGAGATTGCTTGGATACGATTACACACACACATACACACACGCACATACATATATATACACATTCGCTTTCCCTTCTACAAATACACACGATACATATATATAGAGAGAGACCAATTATTTCGTTGTTCGTTTATTTTCTTCTTTTTACTTTCTTTTTTACATAGAGAGACAATGAACAAGAGAAAATGATTTTGTGTTCCTCAGTTTTTTTCTTTTATTTTCCGTTTCGCTTTTATATTCGAAGATGATTATAGATGACACGCAATCACACACGCACACGTTTGTAGGGAAAAAAGTGAAAAAGAGGAAAACAGAGACGAAGAAGTAAGCAAGGAGAGATATAAGGACTGCCTTATAAGCCACATTCGTCTGTTTGCTCTCTCTTTCCTCTCTCTCTCTCTCTCTCTCTCTCTCTCTCTCTCTCTCTCTCTCTCTTTCTCTCTCTTTTTCTTTCTTTCTCTTTCTTTCTTGTCGTTTGCGAACAAAAGAACGTATTTCTCCTCTACTCTTATTTTTCTCTTTTTCTCCTCCTTTCTCAATTCCCCGAGTACTCCTAGCCCTTTTCTTCCTTCATCTCCTATTTGAAATCCCTCAATTTTGTAAATTGTGATATAAATAAATAACAAATGTGTATAGGTATGAATATATCCAAGACGCGAGGACCGTATAAAAATTCAATATTTTATTTCTCACGAAAACTCTTCTCTCCCCCTTTACCCTCTCTTTTTTACGGAGTCTGTGAATATTGTGTATTATAATAATTATTAATTGTATTAAATTTAAAATATGTTTACGTTCTAACGCTGCTACCTTAACCGATAAGTTACACTCGTTTCAACTCTCCCTACTCCTGACTTCCTTGTCCCGCCTCTTCTCGCTCTCTTCATTCATTCGACTTTGCATTTTTTGTTTATCCAATTGTAAAATATAAACTTTTTATAAAACAACACTAAGGGGGAAAGTTGTGTGTGTGTGTGTGTGTGCGCGCGCGCGCTTATGTATGCGCATATATATGGATATAAATGTGTATTTATGTATATGTGTGGATACACACACACACACACATACATATACATAAAAGAGAGATATACATACACACACATACACATATATATATATATTATATATATATATATATATATATATATATATACACACACATATATAAATATCGATTCCTATGTTCCCTCCAATATCCTCATTTTAAAAATAATTTGCAGCTACTGTTTTTTCTACGGTGATTTTGAAACATAGGAAGACCATTGTACATTGTATAAATGATAACGCGTTCTTCGAAGAAAGAGAAATATCGGAAAATTGTGCACTACGCACACATGTGTATCTATAATATTTTCGCGCCATTATCCTCTCTCCTTTCTCTTTCCCTCTTTTATACATACACACACATACATATATAAATAAGAAGATAAACTCAACATAGGCACACATACATACCTACACACGGAGCGTTTTAATTTGTAATATATGCTAATGGTTGGAAGGTTGAAAAGAAATGTTCGCGTTCGCAGCTGATTTTTAGCAGAAATATGCAGCTTTTAATGCGAAATTAATGGACAAAACGATCCTTACGTGTGAGAATCTTCTTTCTCAGTTTAAAACTGTACGCGTTTACGCGTGAGAGTTAAAATTGTAATTGTGTAAAAAAATCTTGTACGCGCAATATATTTTCTCCTTATGATTATGTTACCTGGTTTTCGCATGCGTATATTGTCTCGTAAGTTTCACATCTGATGTCGACTGATATTACGTGCGTCATCACGTGAAATTTCACTGACAACCATCAACAGCGTTCGTAAACATATGCGCGTTCACACAAGAATAATCTTGTTCGTTCGATGCTTTCATTATGACTTACTTTGTGTATCTCGCGATCGACGGAGAAAAACGTTGAAATTATGAACGAGTTTATACGCCTTAAGAAGTAAAGCTCGTGTATAATGTATAATAGATGTATTCCGCGCGTTGAAGTAGTTAAATACGTAGAAATCATGAAGTAGACGAAAACGATAGGACTCGTCGATAACTCGATGAAAACCAACCAACCGTCGCACGACTTTGTATAAAAGAAAAAAGAAAGGAACAGAATAGACAGACATGAAGGTGGGAAGGAAAGAAGGAAGGAAGGAAGAGGGAAGAACGTAGTGGCTTTCTTTGTAAGATATTGTAAATAACGGTTTATTAACGAAATTGACAAATTCCTAAGTACATTCTCTCTCTTTCTCTCTCTCTCTATCTCTCTCTCGCTCTCTCTCGCTCTCGCTCTTCTTCTCTCGATTAAATGCGAAGATCGCTTTCATTAAAGAGAAAGGATGGACGAACAGACGGATAAGCGAGCAGATGATTGAACGATTGGAAAAATCAGCAGGAAAATATTCTCTTCAAGATCTCTCTTTCTCTACGCTTCCTCGTGAGCACCGCGCAGCTTTCAGCTACTTTCGTCTGTTTGAAAATTGCTGAGGACGTGCGCTCTTGCTCATAGAGTTATACTGACAGAAAATACATAGAAATAATACACACACACACACACATGCAGATACGCGAATATCGTCTTGTTGAAAAGGCAAGATGTTCAAGTTGAAGCAAACTTCTCCCCCGTCTACAGAACCAGACATTCCAATCGCCAATTTATTATCCCAACTCAACAGGACACATAGACACGCATACATACATATGTACATACATACATACGTACATACGACACGTAGACACACTACACGGTACTTATGTACCGTTGAAACGCGAGAGACCTGAGACAGTGTTTCTAATGTTTAAAAAATAACGAGAGAGAGAGAGAGAGAGAGAGAGAGAGAGTGGGAGAGGGTGAACGAGCGAGCGAGCATAGTTCCTTCATCGGTGTGTAATAAATCGCGCGTGCGCGTATCATCTGTAAATTAATCTGTCGAGAAAACCGCATCTCTCATCTGTAACGGGTCCATCCATCGCAAACCCACCACCAAAACCACATCTTTACCCACCTTCACCGCCACCACTCACTACCGTCACAAACTACATCTATCGAATCGTAAAAGCAGAAGTACACTTGTGTAAAATTAGGTAAGGAAATATTAACAAAACAGGAAGCAAACGTCGAACGCAAAATTTCTCATGTCTTATCAGCTAACGTAAGATTATCCATTTTCTCTATATCACGTATAGTTTTATCATTATTCTATGATTATTATATTATAATAATAATTATTATTATTGTATTATTAGCGCTACATTTATCATATTGTCTAATATATTGTTTGATTAACGCTGCTTCCCCTCCCCCTACTTATCTACCCCTTCTCCCTCCCCTCCCGCGCTCCATACCACCCTAAACTTCAAACTATTTGATTATTCGTTTTTGCTATTCACACACTAATCGCTAATTAAGTCGTATGTAAATGTATATATATGCATATATACACTCCCGCAAGT